CCGCAGGTTGTGCGGTTTGGCGAGAAGGAGGAACAGTCATCGAGCGAGGGCCGAAAATTTGCGACAGGGCTGCCAGCAGAGGATTTCGGTCTTGCGAGCAGCTCGGCCAGAGGGAAGAGGTGGAGATTGCGCAGAGAAGGGTTCGGGGAGTTCCCTGTTCGAGAGTTTGCGAAGCAGGAGGAGTTGAGCAGTTTGGCGAGGCACGACGACTCTAGAGAGGCAGGGGGTTTCGCGTGAGAGGCAGAGGAGGAATTCTTGATTTGTTTCGCTGGACGCAGAGGAGTGCATGTGGGAAGGAGGCGCGAGAACAGAACAGGAAGTTTTCTCCGGTGAACAGGTGTGATCACTGTCAGAAGGGATCGGAGCTTTCCGTTCGGTTGACGAAGGCAGTGGAGTTCACGGGGAGAAGGTAAGAAATTTGGTGAGAATTTCTTGGATAGCAAGGCGTTAAAAGTTCTTGGAAGGGCAGCGGGTAGAATTCATTGGAATAAATCATAGCCACGGAAGAGAAAAGCCCAAGGATCCACCTAATCCTCTACAAGAATCAAATAACTACCAAGGTTTCATATCAAATAAATAAATCAATAAAGGCTAATCGTTAGATCTACGGCTTACTAGTTAATTAATATGCATATTAAATAAAAAAAACTCACGCAGACTACCACCAAACGGAACATTAGATTACATCCTCGCTGGAAAAAGTAATCTCATCTGCTCCATTGGTGACCTAACCCCACTTTGCCGCCAATTTCCTTCTACCGACACACCTCCGGCATTCAAACAGAATCACACAGATCCAATCAGCAAAAACAATCATAGATCGAGATTAAAAGCATTCAAACTAAAAATAAGAGAGCTTTGTGGCTTTGAATCCCAAATTAAACAAAGAATCTTGAAATGCCCATTGAATCTAAGAAGATGGATCTGAAAATGTAGAGAATCGAACAACCGCGAGTGTTATTGCGAATAAATTTTAAGCAGAAATTGAAAAAAAAAAAAAAGGAACTGGAATTTAGATTACCTGTATATGAAAGATTGAGAGGAGCGGTGGGAAGCGGGGATCGGATTTGAGAAAATGAGTGCACGGTAGAGGCGGAGATGTAGGTTTGGCAGGATAAATAGCTCACGAGATTTGGGTTTGGCAGGATAAATAGCTCACGAGTTGCGCATAATGAGTTAACCAGCTAAACTCAAGTCAGGCCTGGCTTGACTTGTTGGCTCCTACGTAACGCCATTTAAAAATTATTAATATAAAATATATTTAAAATATATTAAATCTCAAGATTTTATCTATAAATTATTAAAAATAATTTTAAAAAATTATATTTTATATCAAATAAAATTTTACTTATGTGTTATTTGTTCATTGCATTTATCATTTTATTATAAAAATGATTTAAATGATTATTATTTGTCCTCTATTACAATAGACAAATCAGCTCAAACTCATAGATTTAAGCTTGAGCTTGAGGTTGAGCTTGATTAATTAATCAGGCTCACTTGGTCGATTGAGTCATGCCCCCATATTAGAGTTAACCACCAATATAAATGTTATTTTCTCATAATATTGTTTGGAAAAAAATTATTACATTTTTAACACAAAATGTTATTTGCTCTGTCACTTAATTCAAAGACGAAATCAAACTATGTTAGGGGTGGGCAACTGCCCTCCTGGAATTTCTAATATATATATATATATAATTAAATATTTTTTCTTAAGTTATGTTATTTATTATCTTAAGTAGTATGATGTAAATAGTCAGAAACTATTTTGATATTTTACTCAATTGATAAGATTCGATTAAAAAAAGTTTAATCAATACTTAAAACTTAATTCACATAAGCTCATTTTAATTAAGAAAATGAAAAAAAATATACTTAAAATATATTATTTTTTAAAAAAAACATGTTATTAAAATTGAATTAGGTTGTACTTCCCAATCGCCCATAATCATTTTCTATTGTTATTGAAATTGAAGTACTTCATTTTCTATTGAAGTAGGTTGTACTTCATTTTCTATTGAAGTTGGTTATATTTCACAATCGCCCATCTACTTTAATAAATGAAGTAGATGGGCGATTGTGAAGTACAACCAACTTCAATAGAAAATGAAGTACAACCTACTTCAATAGAAAATGAAGTACTTCAATTTCAATAACAATAGAAAATGATTATGGGCGATTGGGAAGTACAACCTAATTCAATTTTAATAACATGTTTTTTTTAAAAAATAATATATTTTAAGTATATTTTTTTTCATTTTCTTAATTAAAATGAGCTTATGTGAATTAAGTTTTAAGTATTGATTAAACTTTTTTTAATCGAATCTTATCAATTGAGTAAAATATCAAAATAGTTTCTGACTATTTACATCATACTACTTAAGATAATAAATAACATAACTTAAGAAAAAATATTTAATTATATATATATATATATTAGAAATTCCAGGAGGGCAGTTGCCCACCCCTAGCATAGCTTGATTTTGTCGTTGAATTAAGTTACAGAGCAAATAACATTTTGTGTAAAAAATGTAATAATTTTTTTTCCAAACAATGAAAATAACATTTATATTGGTGGTTAACTCTAATATGAGACATGACTCAATCGACCAAGAAATAATTCCAACCTGAGGTTGAGCCTGATTAATTAATCAAGTTCAGCCTCATGCTCAAGCTTGTCTACGAGTTTGAGCTGATTTGTTTATTATAACAGAGGACAAATAAAAATCATTTAAATCATTTTTATGATAAAATGATAAATGCAATGAGCAATTA